CCATTATGGAATGCTCTCCCCAGGAGCCGAGTAGGCATGTTTTCGATGGTTGTTGCAGATGACCGAAGTAATCGAATAATGTGAAACGCATAGAGGCCATGTTAACAAGAGTGATTGCATGCATAATATTTTTGTTATTATGTTTCTGTTTATGCTAACGTGTGTTATATTTATATCTTTGGTTGCAGGTGTTTATATACACTGCAAAACATTACTAGCTAAGAGTGTGACAAAATAAAAACAAATCTATCGACCTTCATCGCAAAACTGAATGTAATTTTATTTTTATGTAAATTATGTTTAAAAGAGGTAGGCCTATGAAAAGAGAGAATATAAATGATTGGTCAACGAAAGAGGGGTAATTGAAATCAAGGGCTAATCATCGCAGACAAGAGATAAAACATGAGCCGATGAATTAAATTACACAAAATGAAACACAAGTTGGCCACGATGATGGTGAGGATGTTGATTGCTGTTGTGGTCATGATGATGCAGATGATGACGATTATGATTATGCTGATGCATTCGTATTTATGGAACTAAAACAGATCTATGGGAATTCCGTAATGGTGGGGATTAGGCTCACGAGGTACTTTTATCTGAGGTCCACCTAGCCTGAACATAATCTTTAAAATTTTTAACTCAATTTTCATTTTTTTAGGCCTCCCCTAATGAATCCCAAAAAAGAAGAAAAATACAAAACGTCATATAAAAATAATAATGAGTAAATATTGAATTGCGTTCTTTGTGTATGTTTATATTAAAGTTAGTTATTAATAATAATGAAAATAACGCGCCTATGCATATGTAGTTGAATGTCGTTTTATAAATATGAGATTTATACCTGTCATTAATAATGGCCGACCTATTTACTATGACACTGCCATACAAACCTGATTTATTAGAGCTATCACATTGTCACATACTGTAATCTAGAAATATGTTTCACCCGGCGAAATTATATACAGTACTTCCATGACGCCTCCATTCTGAAAATAGGGAGCTTTCCATTTGTGAGACGACGTGACGCAGAACGGAACCACTCATGCGTGACTGTCCTACCTCGCGTCTTTCTCTGCATACATACGTAGATTTTTGGCCAAATTGCGTTCTAGAATCTTCTCGACGAGGTGACCTTAACGTTCTCGCATGCGCAGATGACATTTAGTTACGTCATTACGTGACTGTCCTACGTCATTACGTGACTGTCGTCGTGCAATCGAAAGCTCCTTACTAGTACCGGTCACTGTAACTTACTTCGCACCCACAGATCGCCGTCATAAATGCATGATGTTGTTGTTGACTTTGAAAATTACTTCCCTTCCCTGTATTAATAATCATAATGATAACGATGTCGATGTTGTTAATAAAATTCATCGTCTCTTCCACATACCGTACCCCAGACTGTAAGAAACAACGAAAAACATAAAAATCAAATAAGATGACGTCATAGCCGTGCGTATCTGAGCAGTCAAATCCCGGTGCGTTTTGCACCGCGGCGACTGCCAAATACCCAAAATAAAAAATTACTACTTGATTTCACGAACAAGCCACTTTAATAATGAACTATGTTTAAGATTATTTTCAAAATACATTTTTAAAAAGTCAGTTGGAAATCTGTTAACATACATTTAAGCCATAAGATGCATTATTGGCAGGAAATTGTTGATTAATATTGGGTTCCTAATTAAACCACGAAAATACATTAGAAATCCATAAAAATTCATAGCCAGGGCCAGTCTACATCCCATCCTGATGTGGAATTTCCGTTGGTTATTGTCGAGTTTTGAATCGTTACTTCAAGGCTCAGTGAGTATTTTGAGTAAAGGTAAGGCCTCAAGTATGTGTTTACGTTGATTGCATTGAACTATCCTCATGTTTACGCCATCATTATGGTTTTTAATGCAGGTAGGACTATAACGATCGGCATTGGATGATTATTTACTGGATTTGATAATTTTATTGTGTTTTCTTTAAAGCTTTGTCCACACTATCAAATTGTATGTGACAAATCTGTGTGATGTGCCCATATATGCGCATGATGACGTCATATTACACCCACATATGGGTATGTTGCATTTATTTGTCACAAAAAATAATTTGATAGTGTGGACAGCTTTCATCTCTAAAGTTGACAGCGTATGGAAGCGGTAAACCTACTGACGTCAGTTCCTTTAAAATCCGACATCAACTACAAGTGTTTATACCGCATGCCATCTATCTTACCTCATTTTTTTTTAAATATTAAATTATTTGTTCATTTTCTATATCTGTTTATCATTCAATCACGGTATACGGTACTGTTCTTTATATGCTTAATTGTGTACCGTATATTATCTACGTTTAGAAGTCCGAATCTGTTGTTTGTCCAAACTAACTTTGGTTGTATCATTGTCCTACGTTTTTGTTGAATTTTATATTATGTTTGTATATTTGTATTTTTATTTTAGATTAAAATAAAAAATTGGATGGAATATATAAGTGAACGTATGAATGAATTGATGGATGGACGGATGGATGAATGAATGAATGAATGAAGGAACGAATGAGTGAATTAATGAATGGATGAATGAATAACCGAACCAACAAAAACGTTAAATGAATGAATTTAATGAATGAACGAATAAATCAATCAATCAGTGAGCGAGTGAATGAATGAATGAATGAATATATGTTTAATATTTACCGAATTTTGAATTGGTTTATTTTGAATTGGTTGAGTAGTTGGTCTGAGGCCAAGTTGGCAATGCGCCGAGTTGGAACGAGTGGTGGAAGGATCTGGTCTTACACAGCCGTTTGACGAATACAGATATCACATACTAACTGATTTGTGTTTTATTTAATTTTAACAGAACCTGCAATGATAGAACCAAACGAGACCATAATAAACGGTAACTCGGATAATTACCAAAATGACACCACCGCCACTATTGTTGCTACCATGGGTATCTGCTTCGCCTTGCTTGCTCTGCTCAAGTACTATCTTGTCGGAGGCGTTTGCAAGAGTAATTGTGATATGACCAACAAGATAGTCATCATCACCGGTGCTAACTCTGGCATAGGAAAAGCAACGGCTCTCGATTTAGCGCGTCGCAACGCGCGAGTAATCCTCGCGTGTCGTGACGTCACTAAGGGGAAACGTGCTATGGAGGAAATCAAGAGCAAGACAAGGAATGGTCAACTGATAGTGAAGTCTTTGGATTTAGGCTCGTTCAAGTCGATTCGTCGATTTTGTAAAGAAATTAACAAGGAATTTACACAGTTAGATGTTCTCATTAACAACGCTGGTATATTTTTTCATCCTTTTTCTAAAACAGAAGATGGATTTGAGTCACATTTCGGTGTCAATCATCTTGGCCATTTCCTTCTGACCAACTTACTCCTCGATCTCCTGAAGCAATCAGCTCCAAGTCGAATCGTCATAGTTTCATCTCTCGTACATGCCTTCAGCTCTATTGATTTTAATAATTTGAATTCAGAAAAGGGTTATAATCGAATGACCGCATACAACCGAAGTAAGCTCGCAAATGTGTACCTAGCGAATGAGTTGCGAGAACGTCTACAGGACTCTGGTGTTACGGTATGTTCGCTAAATCCTGGTGGAGTTAACACCATGATCGTTCGTCGACTTTTTACGGATTGGGTGTACCGCCTCGTGTGGCCTTTTCTTTGGTTTCTTCTCAAGTCGCCTATGCAAGGAGCACAGACATCTATTTATTGCGCTGTATCAAAGGATCTCGACAAATCACATGGTGGATATTTTAGCGATTGCATTATGAAACCGGTTGGGAAGACTGCACAGGATAATGGTGTTAGAAAAAAGTTATGGGAGGTCAGCGAAAGGTTTGTTGGGCTCAACTAAAAAGTAACATCAAAATTATTTAAGTATGTTGATTAGTTCAAATAAGTATGAAAGTGGCAGTCTCGCACGTTTACGTAATAGTCACGCGTATTTCAACAGTTATCAGACACCTAAGGGACATGAGGGTCTGTTCAAACTTGAGTAATTTAAACGCGTTTTGTTTTTTGCTCTTCAGCGCGTCTAAATTACAGGACCGTGGTTCAACGTGAACCAAGCACACGTTGCATTATGATAAATAGTTTAAGATTCCAGGCTATTTACATTTTAACTGGATGATTTAATGACGTAGACACACATTAGACCGCCACTTTCATCAAATTGATTTAATTAATCAATCTTATATTTTTCCAGCTATCTAACGTCAATTGTTATTTAATAATAGTTTGTCTTTTTCTTTTAATTTTGTTGTTTTTATTCGTTTGAAATTCCTCCGATCGAGACCAAATTAGTCTACGCTTTAACTGTTTTCGTTATCCAATAAATCAAACGGGTTAATTTTGTAAAATCATATTATATAGCGTAATTTAAAACTATTTACAGTATATTCAAAATAGCATAAATCTAAATACTGTGTAACCAGGCCTATGTGATGTACGGTACTGTATACCAGCACATCTTAGTTCACTTGATACACCTGAGATTAATAGCTTCCGACTTGCTTCGTTTGTAGAGGGCTTTGGGTAACTGTATTTACTGTATTGTCTCCTGTGGTTTGTTGGTAAAGGCACCCACCTTCCAATCCCAACATTCTGGGTTCAATCCTGACAATGTCACAATTTGTCTATAAAATATTGTAAATAAAATTCCACAGGTTTTATATAGGCCTAACCCTATTAGTACCGTTTCACTCGCTTCGTATACTTTAGACAAGTAGTTAAACTATGACGTAATTGTCATTAAAACTTTAAATTATTGAAGAAATAGTATGCATAGCCAAGGTATACAGGCCTATGTTCTATTGTAATGTTGTATTACCGTAACAAACTTGTCGATAATAATAATGATAATAAATATAAAATACTAATAATTATTATTACAGTATTATTATTATTACAGTGTATTTATATTTTATTATTATTATTGTTATTATTCTCATCATCGTCATTGTTATCATTTTTTCAAATAAATTCCACGTTGTTATCTTATGCTCAACTGACGTCATCAGATACATCTCACTTAACCCGATTCGGTAACACGTTGACCGTGTTTTCCTCTTCTGAATTCCATAAACCTATTTATACTGTTAAGTAAACTAATTTAAATAACGAAATACTGTACAATGTAGGCCTATTTATATACTGTAATATAGTAAGCATATCAAAATTTAGCGTCATATAGAATGTACCGGCCTATTTTTTTGTCGGTTGTTCTTGCTAGCTGTTTTGAAAAGTGATTGAGGCAATTTGTGAAACAGTCAATTAACTGGCATGAGTGCACTAATTGTACTGAATAATGAGTAGTAGAAATACGTATAGACTCTTCTGTATTAGGTTACTGTACATTTATTTGTATCAAATATTGTAAGTAGGCCTAGGTCTACCCTTCCTGTAGGCCTACTTATACTTATAAAGTTTAATTTATTGTTGTAAACGTGACAAATTTTAGCTCTTTTCTTACACCACCATCTTAAATGTGAACTGTAGATTTGGTTAAAAATTAACCTTCACGGTGGTTTTGTTTTGCATAATATGCCATATGTTTAATTGCGAATAACGAGTCGGTTGTCACTTTGTGACATTTTCAACGACCGCATTAATTCAACACCATATTGAACGTATTGTACTTTTTGAGATTTAACATTGTAATAAGAACTTAATTGCGATGATACTGAAGTGGTGCAATGATACTGAAGTGGTGCAGCGATAATGACGCCTGTGGGTTTGCGGGAGTAAACTTCCAAGAAACATGTGCAGTAATATTTGGTTTTACATAATGTATGTCGTTTGATGTTCTATCAAGCCTGTACTCTCTATTGAATAGACATTTTGTTTAACATTTAAATTATAATAAACCTTCGATTATATTTTAGGATCCATATTGAAACAAGTAGAAGTCCCTGTTTAGGGATGTCCTTTTAATTAGGATAAAATTCTGTCATGTTTGCCTAATAACTAAATGAATTTAACAAATCAATTAATGCTAACGCATAATATATACTGAGGTTTACGGGTACCGTGCTGACGTTTCATTCATGTCCAAAAAAATGAAGGAAACCTTGAGAAAACTATGACATACGACAATTGACGGCTTGTATTGAGTTTTCTTTCCTATCACGACCCACATACTCCATTGTGATTATCTCGCTGTCGTAATGATAACGTAACCAGACGAAACAGATTCATTCGTTATAAAGGTGGAAAGGATGATGCTACCATTTTAGGCCAATGGGATCAACGTGCTTATTATTTAAAGGAATTTTTTTTTTGAAAAACATATTGACTGCTCAACTGCTAGCTTTCAGTACTAATTTTCAGACTGGTTGAAAATGTAAAATTTAAGACGAGCAATACCGACAATTAGATAGTTGGAGATAGACAAAAAAAAAAAAAAAAAAAAAAGGGGGAAAAAAAAAAAAAAAAAAAAAAAAAAAAAAAAAAAAAACAGGCAATAGACAAATCTGACTTGAGATACAAGTTTGTTAAACAAACTGTTAATGATAGTCTAAAGGTGTGCATGTTTATAGCATTGATCAGTGGATTTTAAAGTGGAATATGATGTCTAAAAGGGTGCATTACAAAATGGTGCTATGCCGTCACTGGTGACGATGTTATATTTATTATGTTCTAGTATAAAGAGATATAGGCCTAATCTCCATGGTTTGTCGGCCATGATAATATAAGGTGGTGTTACGTTCGTATGATTTTCGGTCTACCGCATGTCCGTAGGTCTATTGGTTTTAAACGCCGACCCACACGACAGATATATGTTGTAAGCCCATGGCGAAGCCACTCGCTGCGGATATGGGATGGATCGAATTGACTGATGTACAACCACCAGTTTATGCTTTATTTTGTAGGATTACTTTTATTCGCAATGACTTGCTGCCTATCTTAGCATTGGAAAACTGAACATTTTCTAATAAATATGTATTGCTATTGATTATTTATAAGTTATTTTAAAAATCCAAGTTTTTCTATGAAGAAGTTATTTTCTTGCATCATTTATTGAAGTTAATGATGATTCTTAATGCTATAAAAAAAGGCTTTAACAGAACGAAATGTTATATTACAGAGTGCACACTTTGCTTCTTCAAGTAACAACTCACTGTCTGTTGTTTGCTGTTAATGAATCAAACCGGTTTGATAGGCATATTAGTGAATCAAACTCTATATAATATTACATCATTCATAAATTTTACTAAGTTCGGTCTACCTCAGTAATGAATGAAATAAACAACGCATTACAATATTGACTAGATTTAATAATTTTTTAATTATTACAATATTTTAATTATTTTTGTTAAAACAAATTCAAAATACAGTAAGATTCCATGTGTGTGTGTGGTTTTTCAGCCATGTTATAACGTGCTGTACATTGACACGTGTACCGGCTTTTTAAAGAGTTCATAATTTTACATAGAAAATACACAAAGGATATGACTAGGATCCTGTGCAGGCCAACTTCCCTTCTTCGTTCATTAAGCATATTAACTGAATGTCTAGGTGGGGGTCATACAGGTGAACATGCAGTCAGAATTATCTTAAATCAAGCATGGTTTCTGTTTGTGTTGCTAAAATGGAAAAGTGATATTACGAACTGAAAATACTGTACCGGTATGTGTTTTGTGACGTTTGTTGATGTATCAATTTTGGAAATGTGTTGACATGAACGTAGTCTAATATTAACAATAAAATATATACATACGATATATAAAACAGGTTTATTGAGTTTAAGTTTAATTCTGTTTGTGTCTCATAAATAACAACTAACTGGGGGTCGCCTATTCTGATCTTTTAAGCACTCGGATAGACGTACGCCGACCATCGCTGTTAATGTTGGCGCACAAAGGAAATGACACAGCATACTCAATTATTGTTACCAAAAAGGCACTAAATTAGCCATTTTTGGGTATTTGGGAGTTCTTTTCTGAAAATTTGGGAGTATTTTTTCACAGAATAATCGGGAGACCGGGATATTGTATGAAAATTCTGGAGACTCCCGATGGAAATCGGGACGGACGAAAGTCAGTATTAAGTATAATCTCGACTGTATTAAATGTGTCCGATTTTTTTTTTAGGACCACGACCTTTCTAGTTCACAGTGATGTCATTTGGGGGTATATGAAGCCATGTCGATTAACTCTTTATAAGGCCTATCTTAGCCTGCCTCTTCCTCTGTTGTTTACCTTCAATCTTTCCTGACATTGCTAAATTTGATTGTTTGCTCATGACGTGGTCAAAGACTTTTAACTTTGTATTGATATTTATTAACTTTATTGAGTACAGGCATTTTATTTGGAGATTTTAAAAAAATTGCAAGAATTTCGAATGGAAGCCTGAGGTGTTCTAGTCGATGAGTGAGATTTCTCATATATGTGGTTGGTCTGCTTTTTTGTAGCTATGGGGAAGCGAGACTGAATTTGCCCACTGCATGATGCACAATCTCAAAAGGAATCCACAGAATAAAGGTTTTTCTATTGTATTCTAAATCGTTGGTATGCGCCTGTTAATCAATTTCTAGTTACTTATTTCCCAATTTAAATTAACACCTCACTTAGATTCAAAACGCAGTGATACCCCTGGGTACAATAAATATTAATAAGTCAATGTCTATATTGCTTACAAATCAATTTATTCTAATCTGTGGGAAACTTGTGAAATGAAAATATACTGCGCATAAGTGTATTAAAAATAAACTACAGTATAAGTAAATACGGGAAAGTAGTCCAGTGTATGATAGATGTTTTTAAATGATAGTTTGGCTTATCTTTATAAAGCAAAATTGATAAATTCGGAATTGAGTTAAAAAAAAAACCCACTTAAATATCGACGCCGGGCTGTGTTTAGATGTTATCATTCGGTTCGGAGTGGGTATGAACTGAATGAGATTATTCATAACGACTTCGTTTCCCGTGGACGACCTAGGACCATATTATTCGAATCCATTATTCTCAAACAATTCCTGCTTCTTGAAAAGAAATACTATCAATAAAGAGAATTAGAAAAGGATACTGGAATTTAGTAGTGTAACTAGATCAGCCGAGTGGGTACCAGCAAAGGATATTTGTGTAATGCTGTAGTGATCATGATACCTACGAAAAGATAGATAGATACAAAATTTGACCTACCTACTTAGTAATAATAATGGGCCTAAAATAGTAATAATGTGGAATAGTAGAGCATTTCAGAGCCGTACCCAGGATTCCCTATTTAGTAGGTGGGGAAGTGTGTGACGATTTTACTAAAACTAACTGGGGTATGGATGTCGCCTACAATTTCAATGCCTAAATATTGGCTTAACGATAGATTACTGGTTAAATTATAAAGATTTAATAAGATTCCATTTGAATCATACAGTATTTACAGGAAATATACAATTCCGACAAATTCTAAAAAGATGATGAATAAAGCGTAGTATTAATTGACATGCAGAAATATTCAATAACAAATAATTTTAAAAGAATGCGATAAATCCCGATACCCGGGATTTAACCAGGGACCTTTTAGATCTTCAGTATAATATATGTAAACAAACAAACATTGAATAAAGCGTAGTTCCAAATAGACATAGAAATATCAAATAGAAAAATTATAAAATACCTGGGATTGAACCAGGGACCTTTAGATCTTCAGTCTGACGCTCTCCCAACTGAGATATTTCGGCTGGAAGCTATAATCGGGCATTAATCTTCAGCCTACCAACAAAAACTTGGAAAAAGATATATATAATAATAATAATAATGATAACATTAATAATAATATAAACAAATAGATAGATATATAATACCAGCAGTACTAGAAAAGGCCTACGTAATTCACATCATGGTAAATAAAACACAACAAAATCTTTCAGCCATAACCCTTTTTGATTTTAATTTGCTTATGCACAGGCCTGAAAGATCTCATTGTATTTTCTTCAAAATAAAAAAAACAAAACAAAACAACAGATACAAATCACATAATAACCACTTTATTTTTCACCTTTTTTGTTATCAAAAAACGGCTAAATTGTTTTAAAGGTATAACTTTTTTCTATGTGGCTGGTCATAGGAAGACATCCAGGGATTTTCTATGTTGCTGGTCATAGGAAGACATTCAGGCAATGGCATAGCAGGTTTACAATGATTGTATGGTAAAATGATGTCTCAACCAACACGGAATGAACCATTCTGGCGTGTCAATCAAAACAACTGACAGCAGGGCCTGGAAAAATGTTTATAATTGTGAAGACCCCTTGCTAAATTATATAAAAATTTGTGAAGACCCCTTGCTAAATTATATAGAAATTTGTGAAGACCCCTTGCTACATTATATAAAAATTAAAATAATCTATATAAATATAAGCTGTGCAATGGTTATAGAAAGGAAAAACGAAAACATACAAATTCCTTTCCTTCACCAAAAAAAAAAATAATAATAAAAAAAAAAATACAATTTAGGACAGCCAGGTACAACTGGCCACCAGAGATAAGACCAAGTTTCTATCTGAACTTAATCAGTATATACTGTAGCAGCAAACCAACTGTAGCATTATACTGATTAAATTACAATGTTGATAGCAAACCAATATGGATTTTCAAAATCACAGTTACACCACAAATTTTATCGCCTGTGCATAAGTAATTACCTTGCATTGCAAACAGAAAAGTTAACTACGCTAACCAGGTTAACTAACTAAAGTTACCTAATTTGCATGACCTCCACATTATATTACAATTTCGACAGTTTAACGACTAGTATATAAATACCAACTGTTGTAACATACAATGAACAGATTGCAACATAAGAATAAATTATTGAATGTTGTGCATTTCACATCAATTAACTCCAATTCTTTGAATCCAGCACCCTAGTTTCTTTTCTATATTTAAGTGGCATTCCTTTATGACTTTGTCAATAAATGCTGTGCCCAAATTTATTTTTTGATGCTTGTTTAAAATATAAATATTCTGAGGTTTCCTTGACTGACCATTAGAACATGGGCCTACTCTACATAAACAACTTATATCCATGTTTCAAATAATACATTTTTTAATACAAATCCACTGTGCGTGAACATACTTGATTCAGAACATTACCATAATCACATTGCAATGGAAGTTAAGATTCATTTGAGTTCATGAGCATCCTGCTGGAAACAGAACTTGTCATTTATTTTTAAAATAAACTTTATATCTAGCAGGAAGATATATTTTGGCTACAAAACACCGGATTTATATACGGTATACACTATCACCTCCCAGACCTTAAGGTACAAAATATTAATCAGCACTTTTTTTTCAGGACTATGGGTTTCCAAATCGGTCTAGCAGGGCCTACTTAAGGGGCAGAACATTATTATGTCAAATTTTAGAACATTAAATGTCAAAAATTCTGGAGCAAACAGGGGTTGCTCCCCATTAACCCCACTGGGCTCTATGTGTCCTCAAGCCCCCAGGGTGTTAGTACTCAAAGATGCCTGAATCAGAGGTCTGAGGTGTCTTTGTTATGCCCCTGAATGTGTACAGATAATTATTCCATTTTTTTAATCACATAACTTATAATCTGAATCTTACCAAAGGAATGTTGTATAATAATTGGATTACAGTATTTGTTATCAGAAAATTGAATACTGATGAAGCACGGCCTATGACATCCATGTTTGATTACTACTTCAATGGAGTTTTAAGTTCATATTTAATCATGCAATAATCAATAATAAATACTATTCAATTCAATTCAACACTGTATGCAAATAATTTCCCACTAGTCAGAAAAGCCTGAAACATGTAACAACCACTTCAATATAACAAACTTCCGTAATTAAATTAAATAAACCTGACAAAAAAGGGAAAAGTATTTTGTACCCACTCCAATGAATTGCAAAACTTGTCACCTTATTATACTATCATATAACACCTTAGAAGATACTGCTCTGTAACATGATACTGGTTTGAAACCCACAACGATTTCAGAATTAGTACATGGGCTGTATGGTTGTTAACAATCAAACAAGTGCACCTCATATTTTTAAAAATACTTGGCTGCTTTTTTAACATTGATGGAAGTTAAGGCAAGACTTTTTTTATACCTTGTTTCGCGAACCTGTCGCCCTCCAATGTTGATAATTTTGAATAAACATACAATTTTATTTTTGTCCGATTATCGCACCCGCCACTACGAAGAACTAGAAATTTCATAAAAAAAAAGTTTTTATTCATTTTTATTACGCTTGAAATCTCCAAAAATAAGATATGTATATTTCTTCCTAATTATATATATTTAAAGCATTTAATCATAACATTACTGTACTGTTTACATTCAACAATAACATTTTATTTATATTTTCTCCTCCGTCGGGATGTTTTTGGCAAAACCTTTTGCTAATTTGGAAAACAAAAATTATATTTTTATATTTTTCTTGCCCTCGTTTAACGATTTTAAAAAAACATAAGTTTGCGAAACAAGGTATAAAGAAAGTCTTGCCTAATTCAGAAACAAGTTTAGCAAAAGTTTGGAACAAAACAACCCTAAAGTTTGTAAGTATAAACCACCTTGGTTTAATTTTCATACGAACCATTATCTAATAAGCACTGCACTGAAGTATAATAAACATTTATTTAAACATTTTTTAGTATTCCTTAAATTTAAAAAAATGGAAAAATGGAAATTCTTGGTTAGTAGAACTACTAGCACAGAATGATTTGATTATTTATATTTACAGCAAATGTACCATTTTGAGTAGAACACTAATACTTGCATATCTATGCGACGTTGCATTAATACCACTTACCATAACCAAATTTACAAAAATAAATTAGAGATCAATCTTATTAAAATTTTGCAACAGGAAATTCAAAGTAAACTGTTGCTTAGCGATTATTGTTGTAATTCTGAAAAATATGAAATGCAGCGCCCAGCGCCCAACTTGTTTCCACATTGTTTATTTTATCTTGAATCTGAAATAGAAGTGCACACAAAAAACATTAATTACAAATGAATAGAATGAAAATTAAAGTGATAGTATATGTGGGCACTACAGTTGTGGCTCAGACTTGAATACAGGCTAACTCGTACCCCAGAAAACTTGTACCCAAAACTTGTACCCATAATTTTGGCAAGCTCGTACCCATAGTTGGCTATCCTGTACCCAAGTTTGGTGTATGAACTTGTTAATCATGTTAAACTATGTTTGTTAAGACAAACTTACTAATAAGATTATAATACAGCAGGAACAAAATTTATAAAGCTGTGATCATCGAGGCGTTGAGACTTTACAGAGGGGGCGCTATTACAGTAGTAGTGAGTAATGTCAGAGCCGTAGATAGGCACTTGAGTTTAGTTCAGTTCGTGCAAATTAAAATTATTTGAAAATTAGATTTTGTTTTGGTAGACAAATGTAGTACAGTATATATTAACTAAGAAGTATTTAACATTAGATTTTGTTTTCTTAGTACACTAAAGTATGCACAAATAGACATGGGTACGAGTTGGCCAATATTGGCACAAGTTGATCTAACTTTGGATAAGGGTTTGCCAAATTGGGTAGGAATTGGCATGGGTACAAGTCAGCTGACACCACTTGGACTCCCAAAATTAAGGTTCAATACTCCTAAAGTGCAAGTCGCCTGTGTCCTTGGACAAGGCATTAATCTTTTAATAATTTGTCTCCTCCACCCAGGAGTGTAAGTGGTACTTGGTACAATCTAATATCAAGCACTGATTTTAGCGGCTTATGGTATTGTGCTCTCCAGGGAGCTGAGGATGTGTTACATAGGTATAACCAGTGACCGGGGGTAATACTGTAAAGTGCATAGATGCATTTTTTGCAATTTGCGCTTTATAAATATCGCATTATCATTATTAATAACTATGATGCATGTATATGAACATCAAGCCATCTTGGATAATACCCCTCACAGATGATCTGTCCCATTGGGGAAATAATTTTGTAGCATCGGGGAAATAATTTTGTCTCATTGGGGAAATTAATTTGTCCCAATCTGGGAAATAATTTTGTCCCATTGGAGAAAAAATTATTTTGTCCCAATGGGGGAAATAATTCTGTCTCAATGGAGAAAATTATTTTGTTCCATTAGGGTAATTATTTTGTCCAATTTGGGAAATTATTTTTACCCAATGTGGAAAATTAATTTGTCTAAATTGTAAAATTATATTTGTCCCATTGGGGAAATTATTTTGTCCCAATGGGGGAAATAATTTTTAAAGAAAGGAAAAAACTTTAAAGAACTCAGTACATCGTTTGTGACAAGTAGGGGTTACCCCAGTGTACTAGTCCAAACAGCCCCTGCTGTTGACAGACAAAAGTAGCCGGTACTAGTTTACGTGTAGCTCAGACGCAAAGTGACCATTAGGGGATAAGGAAGTTACCATACAAGCTAGTCTTGAGCGCTTTGAGACTAGCTTATAAAGTGCTGTAGAAATATAACTATATTACATTACATTACTGAACTTACCAGGATCTGTGCACTGTCATGTAAACCAAATCCATAAGAAAGAAACGATGAAATGTAAGCCAACTCCAAACACTCAAAAGGATTACTCGTGTATATATTCAGATAATTGCATGCTAAGAAAATAAAATGTTAAATATTAAAAGACATTAAACAGTACAATCACACAAGACATGGAAAACATAATTAGGGGGCCCACTTCATGTACTGTGAAGCTCAGTCCCAACACTCCCGTATACGTTCATCCCTACTGAGAAGTTTATGTAGTAACACACAGGAACCAGGCCTGGGATTTATCAATCTCAGCTTAACAAATGTCTTCCCTACTGAGAAGTTTATGTAGTAACACACAGGAACCAGGCCCGGGATTTATCAATCTCAGCTTAGCAAATGTCTTAAGTCAAAAAAGTTAAGATGTTCCTAAGAAAATATCTAAACTGATTCATCTAACCCTCTTGGAAAAATCTTAGCTTAAAAATTGTCTAAGATGGAGCATGCATACAATCGACTTGAATTTTAAGCAATTTTTAAGCTAAGCAATATTGATAAATCCGACTTAAGTAAAAAAATGCACTTAAGAAGAATTTAAGCTGATTTCTAGTTTGATAAATCTGGACCTAGAACTATATGGGTGGCAAGTGGTTGAATCAACAAGTCTTGTACATGCCAGTTTTTAAGTCAAAATACGACATGGTTGTAATGTGATGTTCAACCTGCCTTGTTGCGACACATTGTTGGCGGAATTTCCTTGACGGCCTCCCAAAGACTACAGCAGGGTAACAAAAATCACCCAGAAACTAACCCATCTTCAAATTTATGATACTTGCATGTTTTACTGTATTATCAATAGTCATTATGCACAGTAAATTTTTAAAAAATTATCTTATGAAATTTACAATACAGTATTAGTTATACCTTTCTCTGTGTGTTCCTTAATCTCTCCAACTGTTACACTGATTTCTGCATTTGCTTTGAAAAAAGAAGACAAAAAATCAAACAAATAGCCTAGAGAGTGTGTCTTATTACCAGGTTTTTTCTTTGTATAGCAGTGTTGAATGTGCCACGAGCAACAATTGTTGGAATGGCGTAATATAAATGGAATGGTTTGATTTGATTTTTGACAGTGAAAGTGGTAGATTATTGTGGTGATTGTTCCCCAATCCAGAAAAAGGAATATGCTGTTTTACTAGCTAATAACTGGGCAGGCTATGGTTATGCATTTGGCTATAATCAATATTATGGTCATGTAGCCAAATGAGTGTTAGCTATTAGAATAAGCTACAGCCAATAGCCAATGTAAGAGAATGAGTAGTTTAGCTTAGGCAATGCATATTAATATTATTAGGCCATGTAAACTATTAAGCTTGTGGTGGATATATACAGTATTATACTTCTAACTATTATAGTCAGAAGTCATTCATTTTCATTTATACTTTAAGACTTTTTTCATACCTTGTTTAAAGAACCCATCGCTTGCCAATAATGATTTTGAATAAAAAATTAAAAAATTATTTTTGGCCAATTAGTGCACCCGCCGCCATGAAACAATGGAAATTTCAGAAAAAAATAAAAGTTTTTCTTTATTTTTATTTCGCCCTCCCCTGCCTTGAAATCTCCAAAAATAAGATACTTATATTTCATCCTAATTATATAAATTTAAAGCATTTAACCCTCCCATTACTACACTGCTTACATTCACCAACAAAATTCTATTTTTATTTTCTCCTGTCTGGATGTTTTTGGCAAAACCAATTTTATTTTTATTTTTTCCCATTCTCCACTGACGATCTCTTAAACAATAATATTTGTGAAACAAGTCAAGCCTGATGAACAAAATGAAAGAATAAGAATCTTGCAATAAAGCATGGACTGCTTAGAATTATGTGCTGTGTGCACTATTTACATTTGTTCCATCGGCATCGGACTGGTGACAGTGGTATATAAAGAACAGTTAGTAATAAGCATATACATAAAAGTCTCTTTACAAATGCTTGGGTCGATAGAGGATATGATTATAATAGTTAAGATAAATCATTTGAATGTTTTTAGACATTGAACCTTGAGTATGACATAAGGAGGGAGATCCTCAGTTCAAAACATGATAAAAGTTATGTATCTATGAAATAACATGCTTTATCTTACCTTCATCTACAAGTTTATACTTTGTCCCCCGGCTTATAAAATACCCCGCAGCAATGAATGAACCTGTGCGTGTACCTTCCGGCAGAGTTTGTATAGGTTTCTTATCTAAGAACATCTTAGCTAAGTCTGTACATTGTTCATAAACATCTTCGGACACCACAGGTTCTATACCACTGACCGTCGTATCTTTGTCTCCAAATTTAAACTTGCCACTAAATAGTGGTGGTAAGCAAACACTTGAATAAAATCCCTGATTTTTATCTGAAAAAATGACATATGAGGATCAAGTAAGCTAATACTAATAATGTTTTGATATCTTGGTAGTGAGATGGTCACATGAATTCTATCTAATATCTCCATTGACTGTTGATAGTTAAAAAACCTGGGATTTGAAGACAATTGCATGCTAGGATTTGAAAACAAGTGCACCCTGGAATTTGAAGACAAGTGTACCCTGGGATTTGAAGACAAGTGCACCCTGGGATTTGAAGACAGGTGTACTCTGGGATTTGAAGAAAAGTGCACCCTGGGATTAGAAGACAAGTGTACCCTGGGATTTGAAGACAAGTGTACCCTGTGATTAGAAGACAAGTGCACCCTGGGATTAGAAGACAAGTGCACCCTGGGATTAGAAGACAAGTGCACCCTGGGATTAGAAGACAAGTGCACCCTGGGATTAGAAGACAAGTGCACCCTGGGATTAGAAGACAAGTGTACCATGGGATTTGAAGACAAGTGCACCCTGGGATTTGAAGACAAGTGTACCCTGGGATTAGAAGACAAGTGAACCCTGGGATTAGAAGATAAGTGTACCCTGGAATTAGAAGACAAGTGCACCCTGGGATTAGAAGGCAAGTGCACCCTGGAATTTGAAGACAAGTGCACCCTGGGATTAGAAGACAAGTGTACCCTGGGATTAGAAGACAAGTGCACCCTGGGATTAGAAGACAAGTGTACTCTGGGATTTGAAGACAAGTGCACCCTGGGATTTGAAGACAAGTGTACCCTGGGATTAGAAGGCAAGTGCACCCTGGGATTAGAAGAAAAGTGCACCCTGAGATTAGAAGACAAATGCACCCTGGGAATTGAAGACAAGTGTACCCTGGAATTAGAAGACAAGTGTACCCTGGGATTTGAAGACAAGTGCACCCTGGAATTTGAAGACAAGTGTACCCTGGGATTAGAAGACAAGTGCACCCTGGAAATTGAAGGGATTAGAGGGGAAAAAAAACTTGCAATGGAAAACAAAAGGATACTGGAATAGAAAAACAGGAGAACTGAGGTAAAACACATGTGGCACATGGCTTAGTCAAAAAGCTATAAATTCTCTATGAGGCAATTATTTATACAAACCTTTTCTAGTAGATTGTACAGAGTTCATTGCACTTTCAATTTCTAAAATTCCCTGTAGAGCAACTAGTAGACCATTTCCTAAATAACTGTTAAAAGATAAAAATACATTTTTAAAATGTCATCAATTGAAATCAGTATAATACAGGTTTCCCTCTAATAAAAGACCACCTCCAATTAAAGACCACTTTTCTGTAGTCCTACATTAACAAATTTCTTTTATCCTTATTAGTTTAATTAGACACCAGAGCTGCTAAGGACCATGGAATTGCCAGTTCAAAAAGTGTTTTTCAATTGGAGGGAGACCTGTATTTCTAAAATATCAAAACTTTTATTCTATTGTTAGTAGAATATCCCACTGGAGGTGACAGGAGGATGGAAATGGAAAATTAACAATCAAGGGTTCACATAAAGTATGCTGTGAAAATGTGGAACCAATAAAATTATATATTTCATTTATGGTCTACTATAAATCTTTATTTCAAAATTCAAGAAAATCTTCTTACCTATGAACGAAAAGAAAATATGATTTGCCAAAAACGTTAATTTCTTGTATGTCCCTGTCATCGACTCTATCAATAACAGACTTGAGCTCTTGTGGTGAATAAGTCACCTGAATTGAGCCTCCACCAAGGTCAATGACCCCTGATGACCCTTCCGATAAGGGACTAAATGAACCTAGAATAAGAGAATGGTGTTTAGATATAGTAAGTTTTGTAGTAGTTGTATGTAATGGTGACTGTAGGACACTTTAGTGGGAGGGGGAAGCTGTCTGACTGGGAGGTCTGATTATTTGGGCCAGCCATTAGAGCCAGATCCAGGATGGGTTTCAAAGAGGGCTAACTAGGCTATTCTAAGACATATTAAAAATATTATGCCCAAAGCATTAAAAAAAAATACTAAATTGCGTTTTTTAGTTTAAGGTGGCAGACCGCAGTTTGGCTCGTCTGACTGAGGCTTAAGTATTCTCCCAATGACCAACGACCCAGCTCTTATGATGTCAACGAAGGTCAAAATCAAACTTCCTACAGGCTTTGAAACAAATCAGTGTCTGAAACAATTAAAATTAAATTAAATTAAACATAAAAATCATCATGCTCATTATACCTTTTAGAAAATTAACAGCTTGCCATAAATAAATGCCTTCATACGCTCCTTCCAAAATGGTGACGGACTGCTCAAACGGTCCAACATGGAGCGGAGATTTCATAAACAGCTGATAAACCTTTCAAAGATTAAAAAAAAAAAGAATGACTAGTTATTTTCAATTCACTGTGTCTATGCTACATATATTTTTATGGTTTGCATTTTATGGTTCTCAGTTATAGACTTACTCCCCAAACTAAAACAAATTTTGCATATCAACAAAACACTTTAACAAAACGCTACTGATGAAATGAACACTTTGACTGCAGAGCTGACGCAAATGATCAAGTATTAATAATTGTATGCATGTACAGATACCTGGTGGGAATTTGAGGATTTTGTCACAGTGTGTAGCAATTACTTTAGTGAACATATTCATAAGCAATGCAATAAATCACAGAATTTTTTAAAAATTAAAGCAAATGTAAAATCCACATTTTAAAATACTGATTCATCTCTCTTGGTCTCTGTGTGCATTTATGGCCTATGTGCCCATGTGCAATCCAATTCAACCTTTTTAAACATCAATACTTTACTGTATGTGACAACAGTACGTTGATTTGTTGGATTTTTAAATAAATGTAAAAAATCTTTAAATTAATAAAAAAAAACTTCATTTGACAATTTACCTCATCCTCAATTTGTTCTTATTTTGAAAGCAATTTCTGCCTCAGTATTCTTATAAAATGTGTTCTTATAAAAAAAAGTGTACAAGTAATGAATGCATATGGCAAGGGAGAAGCTCATTGTGTACAGGTTATTATTGTTTAGCTGGCTTTTCATACAAATGTGTGATGTTTCAAAAAATCAGTCCTTTGGTCTTTAAGAGCCATAGGGCATGAATTCCAGAGCTGCACGGAATGTTATGATAATTTAAAAACACAATACTTATAAATTGTCATTGTCAATATGTTAAATTCAAATGATTAACTTTTTTGGCTAATACATGTTTATTTGGAATTTCCAGAATGGAAAAATAAGGCCTGTGATTTCAAGACCAAGCATCAGTCTAAAATAAATGCAAAGAAAACAAAGTTAATAAAGTTTAATGAACAAACAAATCAGAATATTTTACACCCTGGATAGGAGAGTAAGAGAGCATGTGAATGATCCAAATATCTCAAATGACATCTTCAAAGTACAGAGAAAGAAATTTGTGGATTGGGCAGGCATACAGTACACTTGATAAAATGAAGAAAGTTTGGAAGGCAAAGATGAGAAAAGAACTGAAGATAAGACTATTAAAATCTACAAATCTACAAAAAACCTACAAAAAAAAAAAAAAAATCTACAAAAAATCTACAAATCTATTAAAATCTACAGTACTTTCTACGGAAGCAAGTCATGGATCACAACCACTAAGCTTGCTCAAAAACTAGATGGCAATTACACCAGAATCTTATGGGCTGCTCTGAATATTGTTGCAGATACAAACCACCATATCACGAACCAGTCACTTTATGGCAATGTACCCTTCAATGGAAACGCGTGAGATTGTCAGGACACTGCTGCAGGTGTAAAGAAAGTTATATCACAGCTGCTGCTATGGACACCATCACATGGTAACAGAGTGGGAGGCCGACCAGCTATGACCTTTGTGGACCTTTTGAAACATGATACTGGGCTGAATAACTTACATTACACTTACACTTAAATTCAAAATGCAATGGAAAACCATCTGTCTGGCATGAGCCTAATTTACTGCTTCACTGAACTTGAGGGTGGAGTTGTTTGTGGGTGGAAACCGGGAAGGTCATCTGATTCGCTAATTGTTAATGGCTATGCTTGAGTGCATTGGATTTAATTGAAAGTCTCTCTACTATAAATAATTCATAAATGTTTATCGAGTAGTCTTACCTCAACTGGATTTTGTGCATAGGCGGATAAACCAAACCTTGTATAATTGTATATCTCTTTTACAAGATATGGTAGTGAACCTAAACAAAGAAAAAATAGATTTAAAACCTTTTATTACTGTAAGTGTAAAAATACAAATTCAACAGATTTGGCATTCCCATGATTTTAATGTTGTAAATATGTATTCAAGAGGAGGGCAAACAAAAAGGAAGGAGGGATCTAAAAATAGATATCAAATCCCTAAAGAAATTTCATTTTACAAAAACAAAATTGAAAATTTTCATACAAATGACCAATTTATTATTCTAATTTTTTAATATTCTCAAATTGTATGTATCTTTGATTACATTTTTGTCAATAATCCTATATAACATTGCTACTGTCCAATAGAAGGCATGTCTTCCTTGCACAAATATCGTATTTATTTGAATTAACGTCCGCCTTGGATAAATGCTCCCCTCGAATAAAAGCCCAAATTCAGAGCATCAATTTGAATAAACACCTCCCCCGAATAAATACGCCCCAAGGCATTTATTTTTTCGTCGAATAAAGGGCCCCCTCCCCAAATGACTGTAACAAAAAAATTGGCGGCAATGTCATTTTTAACACAATCTGTTAATGTTATACTCCAGTAGAATTACATTTTTTTCTAACCTGATCAATAATAATCAATAATAATCAATAATAATAATAATAATAATAATCAATAATAATAATAATAATAATAATAATCAATAATAGTATAAATGTCACTCCAAAAATTGTCAAGGCCATTTTATGAATAACACTTTAACTCAGTGCACATCCTAATGGTTTCTGATCAATAATCTTTTTATGATCACACAATCACACATTGTGATGGTAATGTGTTGTAGTTCCACAACTTATTAAATTAAGAGGTGTTTACTTGAGTATATACATTTTACATGTGAAAAACGCCTACCTCAAAAACCTGTCCCAAAAATAAATGATGAGGGGCGTTTATTCAAATAAATACGGTAAATGAAGTTTCGCAGAACGTGATGAAAACCTCAAGATGCTTCCATTTGTACTGTATTGTACAGGTTATTACAAATGGGGCTCAAATTTTAGTACTGCATATGATTACGTGGCAGCGTACATGATACAAGTAATTTCCTTGAGGCAGATATCAAATAGAAATTTACATATTAAATTTCAAATATTTTGTAACTGGTTAACTGAACACTTGCAGATGGTACAAAGTTCAGTTTTAAAACTGCGATATGTTGTATTCAATTCTCATTATGCTGTATTCCGTTACATTTTGTAAAAATTTACAAAGATACTCCATACTTGATTAGCTAACTAAATAAGAATTCAAATATTCATTTATGGAAGACAAAACATCTGTCAAGTAATTTAGATTGTATAAATTTTAACAAACATGATATTATTCAAAATACAAAATGCAAACTTTAATATTAAATTAATAATGCATTTAATTTACAATAATTTATATTCATACCTAGGGAAAATTATATGCTCCAAGATTGTTAAAACAAAATTGTCATTTATTTTGATGAGTATTACAACAAATATATTTTAATCTGGACTTGGCAATGAATAATAATTTTCTGCATTGGGGATTACTGTAACTACGAAGGACAGAAATATAAAATGTAGTGCACTGAAAATTAAGATAATATTTTTGGATTGTTTGTTTTGTTTTTCGGAAACTAAGTATGATGGAGGTGAAGTATGTAATCAAAACCTTCGGATGCAAAAGGAGTGTTTCCTGAAGCTAAATTTTATTTATATTTTTTTATATTTCAACATCATCCAACAGCAACCAAAGTCACATATCACAGGATTAATAATACAAATTATATTATACTGTATTAAATTCTATCCAACTTAACATACAAAAATATAAATATAATAAATAATGTCTTTATAAGATAAATAATAAACATTGGAGGTCCTTAGAATCAATCAAGTATAACATTTTATTTCACAATTATCTTAAAATATTTACATCACAATATAGTTGAAATGAAATTAATTTTTCCAATATTTTTAACTCCAATGAGGAGCTCTAGAAACACTGTTTTATTAATAGATCATTTTTGTATGGGTGGTCGTTAGGGCCAATATATTCTACTCTGCCTCTATTATACTGCCCTCATCGGAGCTTTTGTGATAATGAGGACTTGTTTTCTGACAACTTACCATGTTGGCGTTTCCGAAAATGGAATATATGAACTCGAGATCCTGTGCTACCGCCATCAAAGATAACTGTGTAAAAATTGTTATCTGATATAAACTGGTTGTCATTCTGGTTTACTTCACTGGATGAACTAGCCTCCTTGTCAAATAACACTGCTAACACATTATCCAGATCTCTTTCTGGTTCAGTGTCTGTGGACCTAAGCATTGATAAAATGCCGCAAATAACAATCGCAGCTAAAATAATACAGGTGAGAAACCTACTCCGTTCCGACATTAGTAACAATTTTCTTTGAGGATTCTTGCCGGAATCGTCTGAATTTCCAGTCAACAGGGGACTGTCGGATCTTGATGTAAATTCTGTCTGTGATGAGGTTCCTTTATTTTTACCATTTCTACAGTACATTAAGTTTCTGAGAAGATAAGAGAATGACTTAAGCTGTCAATCCAGACTGTCAAATTTTCTTTGTCAAAACTATTATATGCCCATATATAGACATGATGGGGCTATATATGGTCATGGTGTATTGTCGTCATGACAATGCCAGGCATGTCACATGTTATTGTCACGTAAAAGTCGATAGTCTTGACAGGGCTTTAAATTAAAAACAATAACGAAACACTTTAAAAAACAATAACATGTATTTGTCTGAAAATGACACAATATTATTAAATTTGCTAAAATGTTTGACTGAACAAATAACAATACTGTATATCAATCAAACCATCGATTAAAAAAAAAAAGTGGAGAAACACAATTATTTAAAAAACTTATTTGAATGCAATGACAACAATTCTAACATTGTACAGTATTAACGATAATGAAATCTAATAAAATCATAAAATATCATTTAAAGATACAAAGAGATTAATAATTTAATAATTAAAAATTGCAGTTGGAAGTAAAAACTAAATAAATAAATAGGCATCAATCTTCATACTCGGAATAAAGTAATTTTTTCAGTTTTGAAACAAATAACATTCCTCGAGGTAGTCTCCCTTAACTTAACAGGTATTGTATTCCAGAGTTTAGCACCCATATAAGAAATTCTAAATTTACCTAAATTAGTTCGGCATTTTGATATGGCTAAATTATATTCGTAATTAAACCTTGTTGCATGACTATGACAAATATTTTCTAAATAATCAGATAAACTATGTGGTAATCTGTTATTAAATAAGTCTGATATAAAATTCAAAATATATAATTTATGGAGCTTAAATATAAAATGTACTGAGTATTCGGTACATTTCCACGTCAGGTAGGGCAAAAATTACACCTATACATGTTTCTCCTGACGCAAATCCAGTTATTGTTTATTATTCCATCACGACAATAACAATTACCATAAATATAAACATACACAATACATGCAGTTCATTCAAGTAGCAGTGTATGTTTACATTTGTCACATATGTTTACGTCACAAACGTAAACATACACTACTTGAACTGCATATTAAACATTTTGTATGGCTAACGACATCGTGAAGTTTAAAAAAAAACTCATGAAATGAATGTAATCGAAGGCTAGGCATAGCGTTTAACTCTTAGTTACACTACGGAACCACCATCCATGCGCTGCATTGCACTTCCCAGCGAATTTCCATCGCAGCATCAAACAACCAGGAACGAACTACACTTACCTGATCTTATTGTAATAGTCACACCGAGATACTTGACCAATTACATTTGGGTAAATACACACTCAGTTACTTATATATTTCATAACTGATTTCTAAACGATAGAAATGATGATGTGTAGAAATTCTTGACACGTACAAATCCTGAGCGAGCAGAAACAATAATAAAGTACTCTTCAGCTCCATGTACATTAAAAGTTAATGCTGCAAACACAAAGTACTTTGCGTTCGCAGCAATTAAAGTTCGTGTGACCAAAGAGTATAAATAGAACAAGAGAGCCAACAACGCTCATTGGGAGCGTAAAAAAACGATACGCTCTACGCAGCTAGTGTAGGACGCCAACTAACGCTTGTATATGTTTTATTACCCAGTACTGCACC